GGGGCCGGGGCCGGGGGAAGGACCCCGCGATAACGGTGTGCCCGTTGGCTCCGCAGCGCTATGGACGAGACGGTGGCCGAGTTCATCCGCCGGATCGTGCTGAAGGTGCCGCGCCCGCACATCCCGGCGCTGCTGCAGGCCTGGAGCTTCCTGCCCGCCGCGCAGCTGCAGGCGCTGGACATGCGGCCGCTGAAGGAGACTGTCGCCGACGCCGTGGTGCAGCTCTGCCAGGTGAGCGGGATACTGGGCCTTATTGGGATGATCTGTTTATTGGATCAGGCGGGCTCCTTCCTCTCCAAACCCACCCTCCTTAAGTACAACACCGTTGTATGGGAAGCATCCAAACAGGGTGAAAAACCATCGGCCGCTGGAAAAGTATGAAAATAAGTCGTAGTCTTACTTCCTTGGTATCGCTCGCAGCCTGTCCTCAATATTGCCAAGCAGGACATTTCTTTCACTGGAGGCGAGCAGGTGGGTTACAACTGACTCCCTGAGAGCGACTTGGGTTTTGCACATGCTGCAGCAAGGAGCTGCTTCAAAGATTGATCCTACATTTCAAAACCTCTTATTGTTAACGACTGTGCAGCAGTTGAAATTGTGATATCGATATGATCATTATCGTACACCTGGCAGCGCTGCCTCCCGTAGAAACCCGGTACTGAACCCGGCCCTTCACAACCTGCCTGACCCCGCCTTGGGAAATGCCACCTCTTCACTTTCTTGGCCTCAGAAAGATCATAGAGCGGTTGTTGCTCTTGCATCGAACTGAAGCTGCAGCTGTGGACTCCTATGGGAAGTCTCCAGGTGTATCTTGCAGGTCGTGTTTGCACCCCAACAGTGCCAGCCTTGTGCGGTACCAGCTGTTGGGTCATACCTAGGTCCAGTTTCAGGTGTCATGCAGCGGCAGGAAGGGGATGCAGGAAGGAAGAGGGAGCTGTGTTTCTCCCACTGTTCCTCTCGTACTTGCAGCCTCCCTGGTCTAGGAAGCTCTGAGTCAGAGGCCATGCCCCTAAATCCCATGCTCAATAGCTGCTGATACCCCTTTCCTCTATGACAGGGGTATTCAACCTTTTTTTTGGTGGGTGTACCCCCAGCAGCATGTTGAAAAACAGGGAGTCCTCAGCAGCTGTACAGTGCACAGCGGTTACCACATACCCCCTGGGGCCTTCGAAGTACCCCTGGTTGACAACCACTGCTCTAAGAACACATTCAAGCCCCTTTTGGATCTGGCTGTGAACTGCCAGTTTCTGCCACGTCTGGTGGCAACAAGTCTCATGCAAACAATGCACTGGGTGAAAAAGAACTTCTTTTTGTTCGTTTTAAACTTAACTACCTGCTGGTTTCAGCCTGGCTGAGAATTACTGTCTTAAACATTGCAATGTATTTCAGACCTATGTTAATCTCTCCAGAACGAGTACTTAAGTTAAAGATCCACTGACCCCGCGTGACCCCTCAGGCTAGAGTTAAGGCACGCCAGATTTTGTAGGTGGTGGCACATAGGGTCTAGTACAGGGGTGGGCAATTATTTTGGGCCACTTACTGAGTTTTGGCAAGCCATCAAGGGCTGCATGACAGGCAGCCAGGGGCAGATAAATATTAATTTTCTAAATTTTTTAAGGAACCTGCGGGCCGGATAGAATAGCCTGGCAGGCCGCATCTGGCCCACAAGCCACATTTTGCCCACCTCTCGTCTAGCATCACGTCCAGCAGAATTTGACTCCTAGGCTGTCATTGGGTATCCTTTTACAGCTGGCTGTCTTGAGGGCAGCATTTGGTGCAAATCAAAAGGGAGATTTTAACTTATACCTCTGTATCTCTTGAAAGACACTTTTGTTGCTGAGTTATTGAATCCCAAATACACTGTGCACCTCACTGTTTTTCTTTTTTTAAATATGTATTTAATACCTTGTTTTGGTAGGAGAGTGTTAGCTTAAGGTATCATTATTCTGGATGCTATTTGAGACTGGGATCTTGCCCTTTTACTTTGGAAAAGGCCTTGCATGCTGTGGACTTCAATTTATATTTTCTTTTAAATGCTATCTACTCCTGGGACTAAATTGTAAGTTTCTTTGAATTGCGATTTTAATGCAGGCTCTATGATTTACCTTGTACTATCAACATTTTTTCAGGAAAAGCCTGCAAGTATAAAGGAAGCAGGAGTTCTAGACATTATTTGTAAGTAAAAAGTATTGTTTCTTTTTATTTTGCTTGAAGTTATTTTATGGTTGTTGTATAAGCAGTTGGTTTGTCTTTTAGGTGTGTTTAGTATTTTAGAAATATTTTTTGTACAACAAAACTGGTTGATCTTATCTTCCCATTTCTAGATTGAATATGTCCTCATGTGTTTTCTAAACAGAAGTGACAAATCATGTAGAACATCAAGGTCATGGATCAAATAAAATGTATTTCAAATTCACCCCAGTGGTGGTTTTTGAAGTTTAATTTGGACAGTGACATCTGGAACAATCATCGTTGCCTAATAATTTACATGGAACTACAAACTTAATATTAATTTTATGTAGATAATAGCTGGTCCAGGGATTTCTCTTATCAAATTTTGTTGTGAATGGCTTCAACTGCATTCTCAACTACTTTGAGAGCTCTGTATAGTCCAAGATTGTCAAGCTTTTCCAAATCCTGAATTTTTAATTTGATTTAAGAATGAGTTACAGTAATTTATACATTGCACTTGCTGCAATTTGGTGAATTGGAAGGAGTTTATCTTCCCATTAACTGCTTAGTCAAATTACAAGAGGATTTCATGCCTCTTATATAAAAAAAAAATCTCTATTTTTACTTCTAAATTAGAATATATTTGGTGTCAGGGAAATTTTGAAAGGAATCTGATTTTAAATAATGTGTGGGAATAGTTTAGTCAAAAAAATTTCTTTGTTCATCACTCTATTGGGCAACTTTTATTTCCCCAGACAACCATACTTTTCAGAACAAAAGGGTTTGGACGGTTTACCAAATGACCAAAGCAGCAGGTATGTAAGATTTTTCTCAAAGATAACTACCTCTACAGGATTCTCATTCTTCTAGGTCTTAGTAATATACAGCAGTCCAAAGAGGTTCATCCCACTGTGTGCAGATACCACTTTTTCCAAAAAAGTGGCAGGAAGGTGACTCAGTATTTATTATATCATCTGCCTCTAGTCAGCTGCTCTACATGGAGTTACATGATGTATCGTTAAACATAAGCTTAAGGAATTTGTCAAAGGCACCTCTAGCCCTCCATTGAAGTGTTCTATTTTTACTTCTAGAGTAAAGCTTGGGGGACGGAAGAGGGGACTTGAATGGTCAGCCCTGAGTGAGTCAAGGCTGCCAAGCACTAGGACAAAGGGCCACCACTCTCCATGCATACACAACTTTCTGCCAGATTCAGTGGAAAAGGTTAACTGTAGAAATGTTAGCCATCACCACCAGTGCAGCACTATGGTCTGCCTAGTGTGATTTCCTACCAGCCTCTCTCTCTCTCTCTCTCTCTCTCTCTCTCTCTCTCTCTCTCTCTCTCTCTCTCTCTCTCTCTCTCTCTCTCTGTTCTTCTAATTAGCTAACAGTTCTGCCTCATTGGATGAGAAAGGTCTAAGGCAGGACAGTGCCAAGAGATTGAGGAATTTCCCAACATAGCCAATGGAAACCGTGACTTCTGGAAGTTTTGAGCTTTACAGACTTTTTCTGTCTTTGTAACTGAAGCATAGAATGAGGATGTTGGATTACTTTGGTTCTTTGAAAGGCTGCTACAAAATCTAACTTTTTGTAGGCTTTTGAATGTTCCAATTACCCTTCATTGGTCAGTCTAGGATTTTATGATACTTTTGGAGCATTTTTCATATCAACTAGTAGACTCCCCTTGAGGTGATATTTGCAGTGCAAGAAACCAGTATAGGCTAGTCTGAAACAAAAGCATCAGAAAGTGGCAAAGGATACACCAAGGCTAACCATTCATAAGCTTATTTAAAGTTTATGACCAGTCATACTTGTTTGTTTTAATATTATTATCTTAAATTAAAACAACACAGCCAGGCAGTGGGGTGGAGAGCAGCTCCCACCAGGAAAGTCTGGGAGGCGGGGTGGGGGGAGGCACAAGGACCTCCCACCCCAGATTTCCAAGCACACAGGGTGTAGGGCTGCAGCCAGGACAGACCAACTCCGGGCAGGAGCTGCCTTTATGGCTCAGCAGGTGGGACCTAGTGCGGCAGGGAGCACCATGCCACTAGGGTGAGGCACCCCCTGCTCACCCCGCAGCAGCATAGAGCACAACTTCATGCCACTGCTGTGCCTCACCTTGGCAGCCATGGCAGCATGATGGTCCCTCTAGTTCTGGGTCCTGTTCACTAGGCCACAGAGGCAGCTCCTGCCCAGAGCTGGTCCAGACAGGCGGCAACCCCGCATCTCCGGGTGGGTGCCAAAATCTGCTGCCCTTCCCAAGCACAGCCCCTGGCCCCAAGCCCACAGCAGGCAGCCTGCCCTCACCCTGCACACAAGTCTGGGGGGCACATACGCCCCATGCCACTCCTGGGGGTGCATGCAGCATGGGGAGCCACACGCCTGGGACAGACTGCCCACGGCTCCGCCCTGACTGGGCAGTGCGTGTCCTTGCCCCAGCCCCACTCCCTCCCTCACCATGGCGGCCTCAATTTTTTTCTGCGCAGACTTACCAGCTGGACGCTGCTTTTCAAGCTGCCAGGCTGGATATTGGCAATTGGATCGGTATCAGCCAATATGGCTGGTTAATAATCAGCCATCGGTATCAGCCAGAAAAATCTTTTTCAGTGGACCTCTACCTAGAAGTAAAACTTGTTATGATACGTATTTTGATCTGCCTAACAGCCATGTAGTTTTTAATTTTGCATTAAAAGCTATATCATTGTAATGCCGTTTTGCTTTAGCACAGGATGAAATACAAAATACTATGCTTACAAAAAGTGGTGTCTTGTTTGCATTATAGGAGGAGAAACTGACATTTTTGACTTCTCAGCTTTCAAACGCAAATTTAAGAGAAGAATTCAGTCAGCCCTGATAAATGTAAGAATACATCAATTCCACATATGACTTGGGAAGGTATTTCCTATTTTGTCCTATCACTGAGACAAAAATTGAGGTCAAGTTATGGGTTTCTCAAGTGGCTGTGTTTGAAATGCAATAAAATTATGTTTGTGTCTGCTTCTATAATGGTGTTTACTTTTCACACCCCAGGGAATTATGTGCAGAAAAATTCAAAATTATGTGCTGCATGTGGTGGCACAGAGCCTGCCCAGTCTGGCCTGTTGGCGCACACCTTTGAACCAGACCCACATGTGTGGCTCAGGGCACTGCAGGCAGAAGCCATGTACCATTGGACCAGGCGGGCTCCATGCCTCCACATGGGGCTTCCAGCACTAGTGGGAAGCCACACATCATGGCACAGAATCACGTACCATGAGCCAGGCGGGCTCCATGCTTCCACATGCAGCTTCCTGCTGGAGTGCCCTTTTCAGGCTTCTTGGAATTGTAATTGCTCGTCTTTTTATGTGTTCTCTATGGAGTAACATGAAGACAGCCCAGTCTGGGTCAATGGCGCGCACCAGCAAGCTGGCCAAGCCAACTCTGTGCAGCTATGTGCAGCTTCTGAGACTCAGCAGCAGGAGCTGCACGCCTGCCACAGCCATGAGGGCTCCTGTGCATCCCTGGGGGGGGGGGGGGG